AAATGGGGTAATGGATAATTGCTCGGATTTTTTAATCGGAGGGCCGAGTTCCAGTTTCCGTTATATTAACTTACGCGCAAATTACTCTCGAGAAAAGTATGACTCCACTTATTCTCCCCCTGCTATGGGTTAATTAGTAAAGCTTGTATCACTGAAAGTATTATTATCACCGAAAATGGAAAAATATCTTACAATCTAGAAAAATATATATTCTGGCTTTAAATAAACTGCAAAGGGTTGATAAGGCGTAAAAAACGACTGAATTAATCAATGAAAAATGTTATCATTACCATTCTTGGTTAATGCCGTCTTCTTTTCTCTTCTTTCTAATTTATCTTTTCCTCTTCTTTTTTCTCCTTCAATTTTTCTTCCCAACGCTGTTATTTTCTTTCTCTATTTCATCTTCTTCTTCATCTTTGGTGTCTTCTTCCATATTTCTTTTTTTCCGCTTTCACTTTTTTTTAAATATCTGTATGCATTTTCTCCTCCTCCTTCTCCTCCTCCTCCTGCTCTTCCTCCTCCTGCTCCTTCCTTGCTCCTCTTCCTTCTTCGTCTTGACTATCATTTCTTCTTCTTCTTCTTCTTCTTCTTCTTCTTCTTCTTCTTCGTTTATATCCCACTTTTACCCTCTCTAATTAATGTTTCTTCTTTCTCTCTCTCTCTCTCTCTCTCCTTTTATTAGTTCTTCCTCTTCCATTTTCTCCTTCATTTTTTCTTCCCAATGCTCTTATTTTCTTTCTCTATTTCATCTTCTTCTTCATCTTCGGTGTCTTCTTCCATATTTCTTTTTTTTCCGCTTTTACTTTTTTTTTAAATATCTGTATGCTTTTTCTCCTCCTCCTCCTCCTCCTGCTCTTCCTCCTCCTGCTCCTTCCTTGCTTCTCTTCCTTCTTCGTCTTGACTATCATTTCTTCTTCTTCTTCTTCTTCTTCTTCTTCTTCGTTTATATCCCACTTTTACCCTCTCCAATTAATGTTTCTTCTTTTCTCTCTCTCTCTCTCTCTCTCTCTCTCTCTCTCTCTCTCTCTTTATTAGTTCTTCCTCTTCTTTTTTTCGGTAATTCTGCTTCCCTTTCCGCTTCTTTTGGATGAGACGATAAAAAAGATCGTTGTCGTCTGCTTCTCTACTTACTTTCCTTCTTCTTCCTCCTCTCCGCTTTATTTGTTCTCTTCTTTTCGTTTTCCTTTTCTTTGTATTTTTTTTTATCTCATTTTTCTTCTTTCTCCCTTTCCCCTTTTCTTCTCGTTTTATCTTCTTCTATTCGTATTTTTTCTTCGTCTCATTAGTCTTCTTCTGCTCTTTTCCTCTCCTTTTTCCTTCTCTTATTTCCTTCCTTTCTTTCTTCTTCCTTCATCTTCTCTTACTGTTTCCTTTTCCCCTTCTTTTTCTTTCATTTTTCTTCTTCGTAGAGTTTGTTATCTTTTTCTTCAGTCGCTTCTCCTTTCATAACTCTTTTCTTTTCTTCTCCCTTCTTTTCATCTTTCTTCTTTGTCTTCTTTCCTTCTACTCTTAATCTGTCCATTCCACACCAGTCTTTTATCTTCACTTTCTTCTTCTATTCTTATTCTCCGACTCCGACTACGTCTATACAATATTCCCCGCTCTTTTTTTCTTCTTTTCCTCTTTCTTTTAAAATTCTTCTTCTTCTTCTTCTTCTTCTTCTTCTTCTTCTTCTTCTTCTTCTTCTTCTTCTTCTACTACTACTACTACTACTACTACTACTACTACTAATACTTTTTCGTTTTCTTTCTCTACGTAAAATTGTTCTATTCAATACCACTTTTTTTTTACCTTTACTTTCTCCTAATCTCCGACTCCTCTTCTTCGCTTAAACAAGTTTTCTCTTCCTTTTTCTTCTTTTCCGCCTTCTTTTATAAGTCTCTCTCTCTCGCTCTCTCTCCCTCTCTCTCTCTCTCTCTCTCTCTCTCTCTCTCCTCGTTTCACTCTTTCTTCTCTTTCTTTGCTTTTACTGATTTCTGATTTTTCTCCATTTACTTTTCATAGCTATTCTTCATCCGATCTTCATTTATACAAACATCCTCCCTCTTTTTCTTCTTTTCCCGCTTCTTCTATAGCTCTCTTTTTCTTCTTACTCCCCCACTTTCTTCCTTTTCTTTTTCCTTCTTCCCTTTAGTCTTTCTCTATTTATTCTAACTACTCTTCATCGCTCACACACATCCTTTTCGTCGACACAACCTTCCTCCATTTTTGTTTTTTTTTTTTCCTTCTTCACAACTCACAGTTTCTCTTTAATTTTTCATAATTCATCTAAAAAAAACCTTTCAACTCAAAGCATTTCAATAGGAAACCTATTTCGCCCTTCTCCCAAAATAAAATCTTATTTTCTTCTTATTTTAATATACTGCAGCCTTCATATTATTTCTGAGAACAACTTAACCTCGATCACATGTTTTTTTTTTCTTTTTGCTATTCAAAATTACTCATCATAGTTCTGTAAAATTTTTTAGTCAGCATATTTGGTTTTTTGCTATTTTATCTTGCCGGTTTCATCCGCCATTTTCTTCTTTCTATCTCTTCTCGTCTATCCTGAGATTTTCGTTTTATTCTTTAACGCCAATCAGAGGTCGTTTCTACTTCTCGCGTGAAATCTCGTAAATTCCCACTCACAGGTACACAAACTTACACACACACAAATACAAATACACAAACTAGATTTATTTTAATCCGACATTTTTATTAATTCAAACGTTGTTTTTAGTGTGTATTCGTATTTGAATGGACGCCCCGTTTTTATTATGTCTGCACACACACACACACACACACACACACACACACACACATACATATATATATATATATATATATATATATATATATATATATATATATATATTAGGAAATATAGTTTTAAGGTACGTTATATTTATGGGATAAAGTGCTCAATATCAGAAATAGAACGTATATAAATACAAAAGTGGACATTGAAGTCAACACTCAGAGGCGACAGCCTGTTTCATACTAAACGCAATCGTCAGTTCAGTAGTAAGTAGTAGTGTGATTTACGTTTAGCATGAAACAGTCTGTCTCCTCTGAGTATTGACTTCAATATCGACTTTTATATATATTTTCCAAACTTATTCATCGTTCTCTTGATGGTTCTTGAATGGACTTTAAAGATGGTAGTATGAATGTTGGTAGCATTTATTATTAACCTGAATGATATTTTTCCTCTCACCATTGCTCAGTCGAAAAGACAGTGGGCTTGACATAAAACGATTTTAACCTGTTCTCTTTTTAGCTGAATAAAGTTTGAGGAGAAACAAAAAGGATTAGCCTTAGATATAATATGGACATTCTTCTGTGCTTCTGGAGAAATCATGTTTAGAACTCCAGATTCAGAAGGGCCGGATTCATCTACTGTGTCCCAGGTGAGTACATACTCCACGAAGGGGAAACAGCGAGTCTTTGGTTTTCCCAAATTGAGCACTACGAGCTGGAGTTTATTTCTATATCTGGGAAATACATATTTCCAAAAGGAAACAGCACCATGGACTTGTAAACTGTAGCATTTGCTGGAGGAGGCATATTTGTCCTCAGTCCGGGCTCATGCTAAAAAAAAAACCGCTCGATTTGGCTGCTGTAAAAAAAAACTGAATGACTGGTCATTGTATGAAGCGACGTGTCTAAGAGGCAGTCAAGTAACTTATCTCCACTAAAGGGACCTTTTGTATCTCTACATTGTAAAAATGCTCTCTGAGAGAGATACAAATTTCATTAATAGTAGCAAAAATGTATTGAATATTAAACTAACTTTCTCATCCGTTTGTGTAACCTGTTCACAAAATTTGTTTTTAATAAATATACAAATTACATGTTCAGATACAATTGCTATTTATATTGTCTCTGTGAAACTGAAGTTGTTATTGTGATACGGCCCACTTTGCACAGGGCGAACAATGATGTGGACTCCATGAAAAAAAAATTTGCCCGCCTCTTCTTAAACATGTTCGAGGATTTCAGTATTATAATCTGTAGCTTATGCATATTTGAGAATGATAAATTTGACACATACCGAATAACATTACATTAAGTTATTTTCCATTTCGGACCCGCTGTGAGGTGTATACTGATACACTTACCTTATCTCATCGGCTTTTCCTGGAATTTCAATTTCATGTTATATACTCATCCTTTCTCAATATCCGTGTCTATGTCTTTGTTGGTTGTCAAGACAGATCCACGCATGAAACATTCGAGTAATCAAAGAAATACCATTGGCATGAGTTTAATTACGGTAGATAACGACTTACCAGCATGTAATCCGCACACGTTGATCTCGGGACGGTCATCTACGGCATATAAAATATGTGGCATGAAGTGTATGGCGAGAGGATAGATAGATAGATAGATAGATAGATAGATAGATAGATAGATAGATAGATAGATAGATAGATAGATCTGAACAGACTGAGATAGATCTGAACAGACTGAGATAGATAGATAGATAGATAGATAGATAGATAGATAGATAGATAGATATAAACAGACTGAGATAGATCTGAATAGACTGAGATAGATAGATAGATAGATAGATAGATAGATAGATAGATAGATAGATATGAGCAAACTTAGATAGATATGAACAGTGATAGATCTGAACAGACTGAGACAGATAGACAGATAGATAGCTAGATAGATAGATCTGAACAGACTGAGATAGATAGATGAGATAGATCTGAACAGACTGAGATAGATAGATAGATAGATAGATAGATAGATAGATAGGTAGGTAGGTAGATAGATAGATCTGAACAGACTGAGACAGATAGATAGATAGATAGATAGATAGATAGATAGATAGATATGAACAGACTGAAACAGATAGATAGATAGATAGATAGATAGATAGATAGATAGATAGATAGTTATAAACAGTGATAGATCTGAACAGACTGAGACAGATAGACAGATAGATAGCTAGATAGATAGATCTGAACAGACTGAGATAGATAGATAGATAGATAGATCTGAACAGACTG